CCCCCCCCTGTCTGCCGCCTTTTCTCCTTGCCTAATCCTATCGTCATCTCTGATCTTTCTCTCTCTCTCTCCCTCCCTCTTTCCCTCCCTCTCGTTTTGGTCGTCGATTTTTCTTTTCCCCCCCCCTTAATGGTTTTTGTCCTTGACCTGCCTTACGGTTGCTTGCTGTTTTGTCCACGTGGCAACCCTGTGATCCTTTAGCTATTTCTTTCTCTTTTTCTTAATTTTTTAATTTTTTAATTTCGTAATTTCTTAATTTCTTAATTTCTTAATTTCTTATTTATTTATTTAATTTCGCGGTAATTCTATATTTTTCTGGTTTTTCCTTACTTTTTTTCTGTATTATGACGTTTGGAGTCGTTGCTTGCTTTCAGTCCATTTGTCAACCCTGTACTCCTTAGCTGTGTTTTTTATTTTTTATTTTTGTTTTTTTGTTTTTCCTTTATTTACTGGGCTATCATCTGGGCTGCCCGAATGACCTTGGTTGCCCGGGCGACCGTGCCGGCCCCGGGGGCCGAGTCCCACTAGCAGCTTTGAGCTACCTCAACGCGTGAATGTGGACGCTTTTGCGGAGATGTGCAGAAATGGTGTTGAGTTTCCTGAACTGCACGTCTCCACAAACACGTCCAGATTCAGGTGTTGAGGTAGCTCAACGCTGCTAGTGGGACTTGGCCCCGGGCCAGGGAAGGTTCCCTGCATTGAGAAATAAACCGGACAACTTTTGCCTCAGGGTCACATCGAAGTTCTATACGAAATTCAAAATAAGAAAGCAAAATTACAGTATAGGTTTTCTTAAATATATTAAAAATTAAAAAAAGATGTTTTTGATCTTTGTTGACCGGTCCAGGCCAGTGGTCCGGGGCCACTTTGGTAACCTAGTTTGTTGATTTTTCGTTTTTTCTTAATTTTTTCCCCTTAATTTATTTCGTTTCTTTTTTTTTTTTTGTCGTTCTCCTTACCTCTTCCTATTCACTTGTCATCTGCTACTGTAGTTACGGGTTACTTCTTCCTATCCCTTTTTCATCTGCTTGTACTGCCCACCTTTTTTTTTTTTTTTTTTTCGAGCTTCTGACATCTGACATAAATATAGCATACGAAAAAAATAATTTGATTAAGTTATAAAAAACTTTAAAAGTTAAAAAAAAAGATGCCATCGGTGCTGCTTGATTTTTTTTTTCTGGCGGTTTTCACCCCTTCTATTTCTTATAATCACGCGACAATGTATTGTTCCCTGGGCTACGAATCAGGCCGCCCGGGTCACCTTTGTTTGGCCGGGCGCCCCGGCCGGGCAAGGGCCAGGGAACGTCCCTGCAAAAGCGAAAAATCTAAACTTAAAAAAAACTATGTTATGAAGAAAACGACAACTGAACAACAACAAAAAAAAGAAACTTAACGACTTTTGCCTCAAGGACAACCGTTAGAATTGGAACGATACAGAGAAGAGAAGTTTTTTTTTTTTTTTTTTTTTTAAGAGAAGTTTTTTGCATGGCCGCTGCTCAAGGATGACACACATAAGTCGAGAAAAAATGGTCCAAATCAAAATCCCTTACCAAATGAAAAAAATAAAATTAAAAGTAGACAAAGATATTCTTTTTTATTATTATTATTATTATTGGTCTGGCAGGGCACGTGGACCTGGGTCACTCTGGCAGCGTAGACTATTCCACAATTATTTGCTACGAACGCGTATTGTCCTGCATTTATGAAATTAAATTCAATAAATAAATTGTATTATTTTATGAATCCATAATTTAATGTGCAAGGATTGCTCTTGGTGACAATGTAGCATAGTATAAGATAGCCTAATTTATTGAAAAACCTATGCAAGATGAATTCAGTGACCGGAAAACATTTTGAGATAAATAATGTTTTTATTTGGGTGGAAGGGGGGGGGTGGAAGAGGGGAGCGGGAATTCGGTGAAATAATGGAGAAATCAGTACGTATCCATGCGGATGGGACTTGCACTTCCGTACATGTATGTGACTGCAAATGCGGTCAGATTCGTTGCAAGCGTCCATGTTTGTGTATAGCCCATATTTACTCTGCCCCCGCGCTGTCTGCTCTCTTGCAGATCTCTCCTCTCCCTCCTCTCCCCTCCTCTCCCTCCTCTCGCTTTCCCTCTCCCTCTCGCAGATCTCTCATCTCCCTCTTCTCCCTGTCTCTCTCTCCTCCCTCTGTTTCTCTTCCCTCTGTTTCTCCTCCCTCTCTCTCCTCCCTACCTCTCTCTCCTCCTCACCTCTCTCCTCCTTACCTCGTCCATGACTTCTTGACCAGTCTTGCCTAATATAGAATGTTGTGCACTGTCAGGATCCCAACCTCTTTACCCGACGTTAGCTTTCTCCCTCCCTGCCTCCCCCCTCCGTGCCTCCCCCCTCGGGCCCTGTCTCTCCTGTCTACTTTTTTGTTCTTTTTTTCTTCTTCTGCGGTAAACGTTGCCGTCAGATTCCACGAAGTACCCCGTGTGAGCTACCTTCTTCCCCCGAATACAACGTACGGTCATTATATCTACATCTAGACGGAAACTTACCTCAAATACAGCTATAATGACCGTACGTTGTACTCGGGGGAACAAGGTAGGTCTTTTCCCCCTGATTGTTTTTGTTGTTTTTTTTTTTTGGGAAGAAGCTTCGCGCTGAGCTGGGGTGGGGGTGGGGAAAGATGCGGGGAGGGAGGAAGCGAAAGAATGGGAGAGAGGACCCCCCCCCCGCCTCCCGCTCCACACAGAGAGAGAGAGAGAGAGAGAGAGAGAGAGAGAGAGAGAGAGAGAGAGAGAGAGAGAGAGGGGAAGCGTCGCGCCGAGCTGGGATCGGGGGGGGGGGGGGGGGAGGGGGGAAAGGTGCAGTGAGGGAGGAAGCAAAAGAGAGAGAGAGAGAGAGAATTTGTCCATTCCTGTCAGAGCAACGGTATTTGGACCCTTCGTCTCATTCATGACCACTTTTTAATGTATTTTTTCCCTTCTCCCCCGCATCCGTTT